CTGCCAGTAGCTCAAATTGTGCTCTATATGCTTCCCACGGTGCTTTTCCATCGTATTCCTGTGGCTTCTTTCGTTCTGGATCACTCCAAGTACTGACATTCATATCTGGGATGTGACTTCTAATGGGATTGAATATGTCTGCATTAGGGTTTAGCTGTGGGGTCTGGAAGGGGCTTGCCATTGTCTGGGTCTGATTAAGTCGACGGTTGATGTGTTCTCCTTGTGTAAAAGACAATAAATCATCCTTTAATGTATTTAATTCGCTTTTGAATTTACTAATGTTCTACATTTGTACTTTTTGCCACTGTTGTAGTCTCTCTTCTTGTTTATTTTCTTTCTCCTCCAATAGCTGTTGTAATCTCTCTTCTTGTTTATTTTGCTGTTCGAGCTGCCACTGTTATAAGTTTTCTTGCCACTGTTGTAATCTCTCTTCTTGTTTATTTTGCTGTTCGAGCTGCCACTGTTGCAGGTTTTCTTGCAACTGCTGTAATCTCTCTTCTTGTTTATTCTCTCGTTCTTCTTGTTTCTTTTCTTTTTCCTTCAACGACTGCTGTAATCCAACTTCTGACACCAATCCGTTCGTTAGATAATTTTCCGCAAATTCGTTCCGACGAAACTTTAGTGACACAAGTCCTTTCTTAAATAAAACTGGTTTATACTTTCCGAATACAACTTTACGATACACTTAATTTCAACAGTCGCTCTATAATAATGCTATAACTCACGTCTCACGTGGCCAACAATATTTCATCCGCATACATTCAATTATTTCCTCCCCGTTGCATCGTGGCCGGTCTTTTTATAAAACTGCTTGCTTATACATTATTCAATGTTAATACTCTTAATGAACAGCTTTATAAAACAAACAAATAAATAATGCTCTTAGTAGTGAACTAATTGATAACTATTGAAAATACCATGAAATGTGAGTGTGTATGTCTGTATGTACGAGCCATCGCTAACGCGATTAATTTGTATTACTGTCATTTTGTGGTTACACGAAGATTGGTGATTTAGCGATATTGTGTTTATTTAATATATTTCTGTGTAAAATTTAAGAGTTTAAAAACTTCACACCAAAACTTTTTCTAAAGTTGAATTTTTTAGTTATCTCACGATGATAATTTTACCAAATATTTATGTAAATAATAAATCAAGTAAATTCCATATATATAAATATTACGCTTCAAAAATTTCGCTGATTCAACTACATGTTACAGTTAATCTATTTATGCACAACACTGTTAAGTACTTCTGAACACACACGATATCAATCTTTAACTTAGGGCTGGGCGTGGCCTAGTGAGTAGTGTAACCTGCCTATAAATCTGAGGCTTCGTAGTTTGCGACCCGTTGTCGCAAAAATGCACTATGAGCTATCAAGCCATGGGTGCGCTATAAGAGTAATTATTCAATCAGAAAAGAATAATCCAACAGTTGGCGATGGGTGCTGCTGACCAAACTTCCTTCACTCTAACCAAAGGTCGTCTGGAGGCTTCATCTCTTTTAACCACTCGCACCACTACTGTTAGTCAGTCAGTAGACACTAAAATTACATCACATAAGGGACGCTTAACGTTGCAATTTGTACTATCGTAATGTCAGTAAAATGTGCGCATGTTATAAATCACGAGAAGAATTATACACTTTGTAAGCTACATCACAGTATGATGTATAAACTTCAAAAACAAGAAATAAAAATATTTGTTATTTTCTTAATTTTGGTTGTATTTACTCTTGAAACAAAACACTTTTGGGGACCCTGCAGAAGTACATTTAGTTTTGTAACACTACTCGAAGTTCTGAAACAAACTCATTAGCTTATGTACTGAGATAAACAGGCGGGAAGAAAAAAAGTAGCCGTGCGTCTTTGCAGTTTCTTGCTTCTATAAACTGTCAGTGAACGATGAAATTATCTTGCAAGGTTTAATGAAGCTCAAATCACTTATACGTTTCTTACTACAATTACATATGCAAATTAAGTTGCTGGCTCCGCTTCATAGTGCGTTAAACATGATAACATGTTAATTGTTGAGTGTAAAAGGAAAGAAAATGAATCCATAAACTAGTAACAAAAAAACTACTGTGTTTGAAAGTATGACGATCGTCTTCTTTCCACGCTGATTTTTCCTAGCCCGTTCCCTTGGCTGTGGTTTCGCAAGATAGTAGATAGGGACAGTGGGAATCTCGTTAAATATAGTTGATAATTATAACTTCACTTATCATTATACTTCAAGATACGAGTTATACTGACTTGACAATAAACACCAAAAGAAATGAGTAAATTACGTTTAGTATATAACACAGCAAAATGGACAATGTTGCGAGATTAACAACAAAAGTTAA